TCACATGTTGTACTGACGTGAATATGAATCATTTCACAAACTAAACAGAATGACAGTGAATAAAAATATAGATTTTATTACAGCAGAAGAACCAAAATGCTGAATTGGAAAAAAAACAAAAACAATGCAGAGGATCAGATCATGACACGTCCCATGATTGACATTTATAAACGTTTTGGAATGGATTCTTCTAATGTTCAGGCAAATTGAAACGCATTATTTGTAACAGGAACATCCATGAGTTTTACTGCACTACAAAGTATGAACATTTAAGCCGTTTTTAACACCTAAACGTTCACTTACTTCGTTATTTCAACTACTGCAGACTCATCAGTGCTGACAAAAACTGGGCTGACTCCTAACACTGGCCAAAATTCCAGCCAGAAATATGACTTGTAGCTACTATTACAGTGTAAATATGTTTGACATGTGGCCTTTTACAAATGTTTCGGTACAATTTTAAAAACACAGAAGCATCAAAGTGTAGAAAGACAAAAAAAAAAAAGAGCAAAAGGAACATCCAGAAACTTACAAGAGAAATCTATTACAGCAAAACTATGCAGCCTTTTCTGTGTATTTTTAGTTGGAACGTGCCACTGATGTGCCGTTATATGCGTGACAAAAAAAGAATGGGTTTCATGACTATAACGCTAATCATGTGTCAGGATTCCTCTGCACCGAGAAAAGAATGTCAAATATAAAATACAGTGACTCCAGAAATGAAAAAAAAACTATATCAGAACATGTTCCCAAGCCTTTACGCATTTTCCAGAATGCTTCAAACAATTGCAAATACATTGTTTTTTTCATTTACATGTACAGTTTCAAATCATTTGTCTTTGTAATGGTGTATAGAACAAAATGAGGTGCCTTCTTTTTATTATTTACAGTGTCAGCAAACCAGACCTTTCATAAACTGGAAAATAAATATGTCCAGAGGCTGCAAAGTTTGCAGGTTCAGTCACTTTCTGAGGATTCACTGGAGCTGGAAGATGAAGATGATTCCTGTTTTCTTTTCTTCTGTTTCTTTTTGTGATGCTTGCCCTGCTCCTTTTTGTTCTTTTTAGACTTCTTCTTGTGGCTTTTTAGTTTCTTTTTCTTCCTCCTCTCCTCTTCGTCAGATGACGACTGCGACCTGTTGCGCTTCTTTCTCTTTTTCGGAGTCTCCTCGTCACTCGATGACGAGTCCGATCTAGGTAAAGGAGCACAACTTGTTTTATGTTGTTAAAAGACATCACCAACGTAAAGAGGGATTCGTAGAAAAAAAAATTAAACTTACCTCTTCCTTGACTTTCTGTCTTTGCTCTTCTTCCGTTTTTGTCTCTTTTTTCTATCATCATCGGAGCCTACGGCACACAACATTGTCAAGAGAACATTTTTAGCTGAGAAAGAGTTGCTCATATCATGAAAAGCAAAGCACCAGTGATACTAGAAACAGAGTACTTTGAAAGGAAAACAAAGGCATGCACATGGACCTTTGCGATGCTGTCCACTTCTCCCCAGCTTCTCATTGCGCTGAGCTGCAGGCACGTCGTCTTCACTCTCCTCGGTGCTGGTGCTGCTCACATCCAGAACAATGTCCTTCTGGGGGTCAACTCGAACAAAATTTCGGCACTCAAACGTCAAGTGGCCCGCTGACAGATACAAAATTTAAAGAGTATTGATGAATTACAGGGAGCAGTGCAGGACAGGTTCATTGTTCACACTTTGGACGTGGCCTTGACCTCCCCCCATGTTAGTCCATGCTTCTCCTCATGCCATTGATCTAAGACAGGAGACACAACTGTGCCAAAATGTCCATCAGTCTTTTTCACTTGTCGGTTGCATGTGTTTTATGTTAAGTTTAGGCCATTCAGCAAGTAGTCCAGTATGACAGTATTTGCATGTATTGAAAGGTTATCACTGGGAATGTGTCAGGAGTTCAAAATCTGAATTAAGTTTATGTCATTTTTCTGGTTAAAAAAGATGCATATCATCCAACGTAAAGCTTGAAAACAGACTCTGTACTGACCATATCAAGCCCCAGGCTAACAAAAGGGCTAGCTAATAATAACAACAACACACACACACTTTACTTACGATATCCACATTTCTTGCATCCAGCTCTGATGTTGTCCTTATTAGGACCTGTAACATAAGAGTTTTCTTTTTTTAATGTTTGAAGGCATTAAGCATAAATGTCTCAACACAAGACTACTAGGTCAACGTGTTTCCAAGATAGATAGATAACTGAATTTACATCAATTTAAATCCTTTACTTGGAAGGCATTGCTTAAAACTACAGCCACAACCTGCTACCAACAGTTTTCTCTGAGTAGCTAGCGTAAAACTTGGTTGTCTTTGAACGCATCATTTCTGCAACTTCACGCCATTTTCGTGTAAACTACAACGTTATGGTGCAGACAGTTGCGTAGAAAGGAAGAAATATATTTCTGTCTACTTTTACGGCTGGAAAAGTTTCCTGTTGGGAGTAACAACAGTTTGACGGTAGCGCTAATGAGTAAAACGTAGGTCTACGCTAAGCTAACGTTCAGGTTAGCGCCACAGGCAACTAATTACATCATCAACAAATCAGGGAATGTAAACTTAAATAAACCACAACACTAAAAAATTAAACACCTACCCGGTACAGCCATCGCACTTTCCACGATAAGGCCGAGAAAAGCACAAAACTCGTGGTTGTTAAAGCGCGGACCAACTGAATTTCAATGTGTCCTCCCGCAAAATAACGTCGACCGGAAACATTTGTTCTGTAAACTACTAGTTCCCACTTCTTTTGTTCTGATGTGTTCCCTTCACTGGCGGTCGGAGAAGCAGAATAGTGATGCTTTACCGCCACCAGCTGGACGGAGGATCGCAGCTGGGGCTGCTTTTATCTCATAAAAGATTTATCTATTAACAACAGGTTCATAAAATATATTAAGACAGTTTGAAAGAACTTTTAAAGGTTATAAATGGTTAAAGTAGAAAAAAATGAATAAATAAATAAAATAAAAATACATGGAAGCTACTGCCTCAAATCACTGTGTTGAAAATGTGCTCTGCGACTTATGATACCAAATGAGCTATGGAATCACAGGAGTGCCATTAGTAAAATAAATAAATAAATAAATCTGTAAAAAGAAAAAATATATATAATAATAAGGAAGCACATGTGTAAATTTAAAGAGGAAAAAATAAAATACTATTTTTTTTAAAATATGGAAATATAAAGGTAAATTTTGTCTTTGCTTTCCCCTTTGTTTTTTCCTTTTGTTTTTCTATTCTGTATTTGCTTTTTGCTTTTTGCTTTTCCTTTTCCTTTTAGTCTGTGTCTTTTCGTTTCATCATTGTCTTTTCCTTTTGTCATTATTTTTTCCCCTTTTGTCATTGTTTTTACTTGATGGACCAAACTGTCAATCAAACAGCTTGGGGCGGGGCTTTCTGTCCAGGGTGAGCAGTCGATACCTGATCACAGGATTCCTGCTCGACGTTAGCTCCTAGCGCGGGTAAAGGGAAGTGATGTCACCTTCGCACTGAGAGGAAGTACACACAACACAACGAACGTGACACTTTTTGCGGATTGTTCAAAGTTTTTGTTGAACACCTCTCCTTAAGTCTCCCACATATTCCATATTTATTTCCAGTCAAACTGCATGTACTTCCTCTCAGCTCCAAGGTGACGTCACTTCCCTTTAGCCACACAGAAATTTTTTAACAGATTTATGTTTTATTAAGACACTCCTGTGATTCCATAATGATCCCGTTTAATTAGCCTGTTGGCCTAAAAGCAAGTGATACAGCATTAGGAATAACTACAGTGGAAAGGCAAAAATGATCTCTTATGTTTACACTTGTGGGAATTGCGGTTAAGATGTGAATAATTCAGTGATAAGAGCGTATGTATTTTGGTATTTCTAATGCTCAGATGTTTATTAGAGCCACATGGACATGCAGAGCGTGTGCCAAAAAGCTTAAACCATCACATAGTGAGTGTGCATCACAGTTTATTTTCATTTGGCTTGAATTTGAATGCATCAACGTTCTCTCTTTAACTGAAAAAAAAAAAAAAGAAAACGTAGAAATTTTCAGCAATATTTGCGCAATGGCAGTAAAACCAGTTGTGGTTTCTGTTAGGGGTTAATTGAAGGCAGCCAGAGTGAGACTGGCAGATGGAAACTGTTGACAGATGCGGGGCCCCTAGACATGCTCTCATCATCACGTCTGTGGCTGTGACACAGACACACACACACACACATCGTCTAAATCCTCATCTTTTGATGATGCCATCTGCTTCAGCAACTGAAGTAACACTGCAATTCGCTTTATTCACAGTAAAAATGATTACAGCGATCAGCCGATGCCACGCGACGTGCTCCCACACAGATCTGAAGTTCAACTCAGCCGGAGAACTTTGATCTCTCACACCTCACCTTATCTGTTGCTGTGCTCTTGAAGTCACTTAAAAACACGTAACCTGACTGTGCATTGCTTGTCCTACCTCTGGATAGATGTTTTTGCATGAAAATATTTGAGCTGTGGATCTCTTGACAGCTTCAGTTCCTCATCTGTCCATCTTTTAAACCTTTTTTCAGTCTCCATTTAGAAACAAGGCTGCTTTTTTTATCATTAACCTTGAAGTTGGATATCCTGCTTTAATTATCCTCGTATTTTTGTTTGATTTTTGTTCTGCAAATGACGTGTTTCCATTTTGAATTTCCTTTTAACACAGCAATGTGTCTCCTCTGAATGTTTAGCATTATAACATCCAGTTTCCGTAAAGCCTCGTATCTGGGCTTGTGGTTGCTGCTCTTTAGAGGCATCGGTTGTTTTACGAGGCACTACGTACAGTTCAAAGGCACACGTTTTTATCTGTGTTGCTTTATTGCCTCAGGTGAGAGATTACAGCAGAGACTATTGTCAGAAGCTCTTCTGTGACCTTTTCGCTGTGGAGAAAGGTTGCAGTAAATTCACTTTCCAGCCACTTGAAGGTGCAAAGAACGTTTAGCAAGAGGCAGCAGCTGTAAAATGATTCCCATAGTCTAGTTAAAAGGAAAGAGCTCCAACTGGCCGGGACGGAGAACAACACTGGAGAGGAAATTAAACCAAGCAGCACAACATGAAGCGTAATTCACAGATTCAAGTCCATGATGAGGAGAAAACTGCAAAACATGCGTTCGTTGGTTGGAATTTATAAATACAACACTCCTCCACTGACACAATGGAAGAAATGCAGACTCCTCTGCTTGCTGCTAATTACTGTATATATCATGTTACATTCACTTGAACACAGGGAATCTGAAACTGTTATTCCAGATGTCCTTTCTAGTTTTATTCTTATGACCCATGTTTTCACTAGCGCATGCCTCTGGCTAATAAAATCATCCCACTTAAAAACAGGGCTTCAACTCATTCATCTTCAAAGTTTTATATAAGACATTTCATGTCTTAAGCAGGGCCTGTGACCCAGATATAAACAAAGGGTAAGCTCATTTATACACACAAAGTTCACCTCAGTCACACTTGATCTGATTGATGGATTGATATGAACTTTATTAATCCCTGAGAAAACTCTTGTGCCAGATATTGCGCAATAGCTGGCACAAGAATTATTATTATTATCTTTTTTTTATATATACAAAATTGTGTGGTTTTACTCATTTCAAATCTAACTTAACCTCTTACAACCCGAGCTCTTGTTTGATATGCATTTTAAGAAATAAAAAATATAAAGAAAATAAAACTCCATCCATTCATCCATTATCTGTACCCCACTTGATCCTCACGAGGGTCAAGTGGGGGGCTGGAGCCTATCCCAGCTGACTCAGGGTGAAGGCAGGGGACACCCTGGACAGGTCACCAGTCTATCACAGGGCTACACTTAGAGACAGACAACCAAGCACACTCACATTCACACCTACGGACAATTTCGAATCACCAATTAACCTCAACATGTTTTTGGACCTTGTGGGAGGAAGCCGGAGAACCCGGAGAGAACCCACACTGCACGGGGAGAACATGGAGACTCCACGCAGAAAGATCCCGGGTGTCCTCACCGGGACATTCTTCCTGCGAGGCAACAATGCTGACTACCTTGCAGCCCTTTAAAATAAATAAATAAACCCTGGACATCAGGTCTTAACAGGTTAATTTAAGAAAAGCCTCACAAAGCTATTTTTTTAAACTATTGTTGTTAAGTGTGAGATTACTTGGTTCCTATTCACAGAACTTTTACTCATATATATTGTAATGGCATGCTAAACATGCCATATAAGAGATGAGGGGTTACCCTCAGAGCATGTACAGTAGACACATTTAAGGAATATATTACTGCTTATCCATTTCAATTAATATCCTCAGAAAAAAAAGTTAATATTATTTAAAATCATACTCTATGGTGGTGTAGATAAGGTGAAGGACAAGCCTTCAAAATGTCACTTGTAGAAATTCCACACGTGCGACAGAGAGAGAGGGAGTTTCCCTCTGAAGAACCTGACAGCAACACGATGCTGAGATTTGCAACTGTATATTCTTAAGACCTCAAAAGGCCCATTCTTCTTGATAATTATGATTAACAGTGGACCGCAACAGGCAGGAGAAAGAAAAAAAACTTGCTTTGATAATCACCAAACATTTCAATGAAATGAAAAATGAAACAAGAATGAATCATTAACGGAACCGACTCGAACCAGAAGAAAAGATTTCATAACAGATACCAGGACTTTTGGGAACTCAGATACACTTGATGAACTTTCTTTCCCAGAACCCACTTATACACACACACACACACACACACACACACACACACACACGCACACACGTTGACCAAAATACAATGTTATCAAAAAACAATTATTAAGATGTTAAATGAGCACAGAAGCATATGGTGACCATTAAAACAGGGCGACTGTAGCTCAGGTGGTAGAGTAGGATGTCCTCTAATCCCAAGGTTGGCAGTTCGAACCCTCTCCCCTCCACAGCTGACGTGTCCCTGAGCAAGACTCTGAACCTGACATTGCTCTTAATGTATGAATGTGTATCTGCTCTCAGACGTGCATCGCTTTGGTAAAAGCATCTGCTAAATGAAACTGTAAAATAAATAAAATTGAGAAAAAACAAGACAAAGGAAAGACTTTGCAAAATAGAAAACCACCTAGAGATTGGCGTGTGTCTCCCTGATGCTTCTACCAGTCCACTGAACACACAGATATCTCACATTAATACTGGTCATAAAGTTGTACCAACACAATCCAACTTTCCCATGTTTTCAATAAACTTCTCCTTTTGCATTCTTATAGTAAAAGTAATCATTCCCATCTTGAAGATATCATTAATACATCAATCCAATCATCTATTATAGGTATTTCTGGTCTTTAGTAATGGCTTCGTGCAGACTGCTGGCTGCACTTAAAGCAGCTTTATCTGATGGCGAGGCACCGAAGTACAAGATCTCTGCTGGAGACAATGTGGGTCTTTCTGTGGGCAAATCACTATCATATATTTCTGTCTTGCCTATTACTCGTTTCTTTCTGGCAGGAAAGGAACATAGGATTTTGCACAAAGTTTTCTGTCTGGACGTTCAACACAAAGACTTTTGCGTGAAACAAAATAGGGAACTTTGCAATGTAGCGATCAGAACAGGCGTCGCTTTTCCTTGAATTGGTAAGATAAAAATCGCTTTGGGAATATTACAGAAGTTTGATAATCAGATCAGTATTGGAAAAAAAAAAAAAAGAAAGGTGCAGTTTTCTGTCAAGAAAT